ATGTAGTCGTCATCCTTGCCATGCTGCTCGTTATTGAAGAGGCAGAACAAGCAGGGATCGTAGATGCTCATGCGGTAGTCGAGCTTGCTGAGACGATCAACCATTGTACTCCTCCATGCTGCCATTCCGCTGACAAGTCCGTAAACTTCACGATCTAGACGAATAAGGCTACCTGGTGGTACTCCAAGTGCTTCAAGATATCCTCCTGGTGGCGGCTCGGCGTACAGCGGCTTAGTCCTCTTGCTCGGATCGCCCTGCATGAACGCGGTCGTAACGTCGCCCACGTTAGCCTCGAACTCCCTCGCAGCGAGCGCCTGCATCGCAATGTGAAGAGTAACCGGCTGTGGTGTAGGGCAACTCCGCTCGATCTCCATGATGTCCGGGTCCTTGAATCCATGCACAACCCATCTCGCCTTTGCAGCCACGCCCTGCTCGGTAGGCTTCCAGCGTAGCAAGATCCGACTGGTGATGATCCGCTCGCGCTTGCTCTTGCGAGTTTCCTCCGCGTCGCCCGGCATGATGACGGTCACTGCCTTGATCCCGACAACAGAGTTCCACTCCTTCGCAATCGCAGCGATGAACTGCGGCCAGTCGTCGTCGCTGATGGCGTTGTGCTTGAGCTCTGCCGCCTCGGACTTGGCCTTCATGATATAGAAGTTCCCGCGGTAGCTGAGGCACGCCCAAGAATCCTTGATGCTGAACGCAACGTGCTTGTCATCGTCGAAGCCTGTGACTGGTCGCCACGGTCCGCTCTCCAGCCTCCTGTAGTTCCACACCTCATCCATAGCAATGAAGTCGCTCTTCTCGGCGTCATTGAAGTTCGTGTAGGTGCCATTCGTGAAGTCACAAACCTCTACGAACCGCTCGTTGTCGCCGGGCTGCTGCCAAAACGCGCTGGGTGTAGTGAACCCAGACGGAGCTGGCCATGGAGCTACTGCACCTGCCGCAGCACGTCCTGAACTCGGCGCCGATGATGATGCCAATCTCCGGCGGTCCAGCTCCATGTCGTCGAACCTTGGCTTGCTTCTTGGCGGCGCCCCAAAAGCCTCCCCCTCTGCCTCCGCAACGATGCCTCGACGTGAACCTTGATCAGATGAGGGAGCCCGAGGTTCGCTCTCGGGCTGCTGGCTGCTCTGCCTGGGAACTTCCTCTTCGCCTCCTTCTGCGCCTTCATGTGGCGGAGCTTGTTGCGGTGGCTCTGCGTCGACAGCCTCGTCCTCCTGCGGTGGCTCTCCATCTCCGCTGATGTCCCTGAACCCCCGCTGCTGGTGAACCTGGTTGAGCTTCTCCTTGAGGCTGTGGAGCATCTCGTTGACAATCTCGGCACCCATGCTCTCCTCGTTAGTCGCTGCCCGAACCTGGATCCTGGCACACTTGAAGAGAACACCGCGCATGTAGGCGAATACCGTAGATCCATTCTGAGTGGCAGGGACAAGCGTAGCCGGTCCGCTCCATCCCACTTTGTAATCGATGCTCCCGTCGGGCTGTCGAACTGTAACTCGCCTCCAGATAAACACCACCTCGCCATCCTTTAACGGCTCCTGCTCCTTGCGCATACGGCTCTTGAGTGCTTTCTGCATGGTCTGCTGGTCGCTGAGGCTGACGGCTGACTGCATAGCTGCTTGCCTCATAGCCTGGGCCCTCTGGTACTCCATGGACGGTGCAGTGTGGAGCATCTCAGGGCTAACGACGTCGTCGCTAAGCAAACAACCTGGTAGTCGTAGATCTTCGCCACATACTCGTTGAGCTGAGCTGAAATCCACTTCGGATGGTGAACCTGTTCTTGGCCTGTGTCACAAAATTGGCAAGCATGTCGATCTCGTTGATGTTGTTGCGCGGCTCGATGGTCTCGGACTTCTGGAAGATGCTCTTCCACCAGCCTCCGCGTCACTCAGTCTTGCCATTCTCCCACGGTGACCTCAGATTGATGGTGTGAACGAGGGTGGCATACTCTCGAGCCCTGTCCTGGAACTCTGCCTTGAACTCCGTGCCCTGGTCCACGACAAGAATGCGAGGCGGCCCGTAATGGCGATGCCAAGAACGCTGAACTGCTTCACAGGTGGCCTGGGCTGAGACGCCCCCGGAGATGCGCTCCACGATCTGGTAGTTCGTCCCCCAACAGATGGTACGCACGAAACTGAACTCCAAACCCATGACTGTTTTGACCGTAAACGTATCGCATCCAACGACACAGTTAAACGGAAACGATCGCAATACCGCTCCTGGTTGCCGAGCTTTTCGACGCTTGTTCGATTCACAAGGCAGACAAACGAAATGCCGCCGAACCCAACGCAATGTCGAATTACGAACCCGACCGTGACGGAGAACCCGGATGAACTCTCGAAGCTCTGGATGTCCCATATTGTTGTGAGCACGTAATAGAAGTCGTTGCTGTAACGGCGTCGGTATTTCCGTGGATTCGGTATCTGGTTCATCTTCATCTCCGTCAGGTTCTAGGCTCGGATATCCTAAGTCAGGTCCAAGGCTTTCGCCCTCCGCCGTCTCCTCGTTGATCGTATCGAGCGCTGGGTACACCCCGATCTGAAGCTGGTCCTCCGCGATCGCCTGAAAGAAATCGTCGATACTGTGTGGAATGTACTCCTCGGCGGTGTGCTCCACAACGTTCGAGTACTGGTAGAAGCACGGCTGGATGTCCACAAAGTTCTTCTCGTCGTTGGCGTGCACGATGATGCCGGCGCCCTTGAGATGCTTGACAAGACCTCTGAGGACGGCGTGGAAGAACTGTGGAGTGCACTCTTGAGCGAGCCTGGTGTACTTGCTGCCGACAAGCTGGTCGTGGTCCGAGCTGCGGTGTGTACATCGCCTGCAAACTGCCTTGAGAACCTCCGTGCTGTTGCTGAGGATGCCCGTCGGCTTCCGGCTGAGCTTGCCGCCGTCGACGTGAAGGGTGAACTCGCACATGTCTGCATTGACCCATCCAATGCCATCGGTGTCGGCAAGCGCTTGGATACACGGAACATCCCAAGGTCGGGCGCAGGCTGGCTGCTCGAAGAGGAATAGTCCGCCTTGTTCGTGTTGTTCACGGGCTAGCGCGGCACTGAACTCAAGATGTTGGAGTCCTTCATGCTCTTCGCTGCTCACAATGTCCCGGTCGCGCTTGTAGCGTGACAAGTCACGAATGCGGCTCCAGACCTTGCACGGCGGACTGAGGGTGAGAAGAAGTGGCTTTTCTTTCTCGATGGTGCCCCTCGCCCGATTGCGATCCGCCTCCTTCGCGAAGTCGAAGCCATTGGTGAGGTCAAGCGCGCTCCCAGGTTGAAGACCGCGATGCCGACAATATTGGGTGACTCTCGGTCGGCTGTAGACCTCGGTGACGTCGGCACCCTTCTTGGAGAGCTTCGCTAGGCTACGCCGAAGTTCTCGTCGAAGACCTTTTGAGATAACTCCCTGCTCCTCGCCATCGAACAGAACGCTGGTGATCGCGCCAGTGTTGACCTTGAAGATGTCGATGCGGTCCGCAGTGTCGAACTCGCGCTTCTCTGTGATGTAGTCGAACTGATCCGAACTCCTGTTCATGTACCCGATGCCGAGGTGGTCGCCGAAGAGGTCGCCGTTCGCGAAGCCGTCCGAATTGGCCGGCGTCACGGTGATCACGATATCCGTCTTGTTGCCGTCGTCAAGGCGCCCGAAGTAGACGAGACCCCCGATCACATGTCCCCGTCGCTCGACGAGATGGTGTGCACCTGAGGCTTTACCTCCACGAACTCCTGCATGTACTCCTTCGTATCCTCGCAGCCTCGTATCGCACAGAGATAGCAGTACTTCTTCTCGTAGCGATCCCAGACCTTCTCCATCGGGGCCGCGTGAACTGGGCATGCTGGCACTGCAGGCTTCTGCGCCACTGCCGCTGTCACCGGCTTGGCGCTCTTGTCCGAGTTGACCTTCTTCCCGCCCGGCGCCTCGCCGTAGTGCGGGATCCTCTCCCAGCGCGATCCGCACTTCAAGCAGACCTCGCAGTAGCCCTTGCTGTTGCCCTCCGGGAGAGACATCTCCTCTGGGTGGTCGCACTCCTCTGGACTGCAGGCCTTCTTGATGTTCTTGCGCTTGGAATCCACGAGGCGCTTGCCTTTGGTGAAGTACGTTGGCACCCTCTTGTCCGTGGAAGAGCCAGCTCCTCTCTGACGCACAGCGAAATGACTGGCCAGCTCCTGGATGCCAGCGATGGACAAGAGAGCCGAGCACAAGGACTGGGAGAAAGCAGCTTCGGTGACCATGATGACCTTTCGCAAGATCCGATGCCAAGCTGCCATGGCTCGCCTCTTTCTGCCTCTGGTCTTCCCGCGGTCGACTACCAGATCCTCGCATTGACCCAGCGCCTGGCCCACGAGAGTCGGCATCAGGAGTCGTTATGGATATGGAAACCTCCGTTGAGCTCGGAGGTGGAAGCTGCACAGATGAAAGATTGCCTTCGGCCTCTGCCGAGAAACCAGACGTTGAACACAAATGGCTCTGGCAGGTCTCATTCTCGGGGCTCTCAGGTTTCTCTATGGGATCGTCCTTGTCGTCTTCCTCGGGGATGCTTCCGAGCAGGCTCCTCTATTTGGGGCTCCTAGTCGCTGTACTCGGGGCCTCTGGAGTTGTTGTAGGAGTCCTTCTTGGCGCTATTGAGGTCCCTGTAGCCTTACTCTGGGTTGCTGTTGGTGCCATCGGGGTCTCCGTAGTCTTACTCTGAGATGTTGTTGATGCCATCGGAGTCTCTGAAGTCTTACTCTGAGATGCTGTTGACGCCATCTTAGATGCGATTGATGCCATCGGGGTCTCTGAAGTCTCACTCTGTGATGCTGTAGGTGCTCTGAAGGTCTCCGAAGTTGTACTCTGAGATGCTGGCGATGTCATCGGAGTCTCTGAAGTCTTCGTCTGAGATGCTGCTGGTATGGTGGTCAATGGCGGCAACGTCGATGATACTGAAGCGGCGAACGGTGGCGGTGGTGGCGGACACTCCAGAACGGACTGCACGGGTGTGTCTTCATTTTCTGAACCTGGCTCGCACCATCCTCCGGGCGCAAACTCGATAATGCTGATGGCCGTGTGGCCATTCTGTCCGATGGTGCGCAGCTTTGTGCCAGCACCGAACTTGTGGAAAAACGCCTGGTCGCCAGATCCGCGCAGCTTGAGATCCATCTCCATTGCCCTGGTGAGACCAACAAGTAGCAGAGCAGGCACCTCCTCATCAAGAACACGGAATGAAACTATACCGTTCATGCCTGCAATGCCAACTGGGACCTCCACGCGGCCAACAACTTTCGCGTCGCCTTCGATGCCACGAGGTGCAGGTCCTTCGTCTGGAACCCACCGAGGTTGCAAACCAAACTCCTTCAGCTTGATCGCCAGACCCTTCAGCTGCTCGATGCCGATAATACCCTCCTGAGCGCCTGTGTCCACGAGAAACTCCCACGCGTTGATGGCCAGCCCGATGAACATGGAGATCATCCCGATGAAGAACCTCACAGCGCTCCCTGCTGATGGAGTGTAGGACGTCGGCTCGTCGATGTTGAACTGCTGGTTGGCTCCGCCTGCCGCGTTGTGCATCGTGAAAGCTCCAAGGGCAGGTCGTTGCTGTCGATTCTGAGGGCACTCTCGCGCCCAATGACCAACTTGCTTGCACTTTGCGCACTTCGCCCTGAGCTTCAGCTGGTCGATTGATATCCGTCGCCTCTGTGGTGACTTGCCCTTGCCCTTGCTCTTTCCCTTGTCGCCCTTGCCGGTCTTGCCGTTGCACTTCGGCTTGAAGAAACCTCTGGCCTTCCGAGCCTCGTTCAGCTGGTTGCGTACTTGCTTGTACTCTACGGGGTAGCTCATCGCCGGGCGCACGTCCAGAAGAACCCACGGCTCCTCGATGGCGCCGTCGAGCCACTCCGAGTTCAGGTAGTACGGATCCTGGAATCTGCAGCGCGCCCTCGCCGTCGTCACAACCGTCGTCCTCGTAGCCGATGATGTCAACCGCGAACGTGCCCAGCTCGTCGCTGGAGTCCGAGATGGCCATATCGATCGGCGGCGGCGGGGGCGGGCTGTCGTAGCTGTCGTTGTCTCCGTAGAAGGTGAGCGCCGCCAAGCCTGTATTCGGTCGTGGTAGTCCTGCTCGGCGGTCTGGCCGAGGCGGATGAGCGCCTTCGCAATCTTCTCGAAGTTGTACGTGCCGTCCGTCCAGCTGATCACCTTGTCGTAGCTCCGCTCGTCCAGCCTTGCGAAACGTAGCGTCGTGTAGCCCTTCAGCGTGTCCGGCAAGACGACCCTCAACCTCTCGAGCGCGATGAACTCGAGCCTCCGTCGATTCACAAACGTGGTGAACCTCTCCTTCTTGGGGTCGCGTACACACGTGTAGAGAGCCTTCTCGAGTGCCGCGGGAGCCTCTTCCTCCTTGAGATACTGAAACGCATTGTCCAGGGCCTGTAGGATCAGCTCGACCGCGCTCTCGCCCGTGAGGGCTTCGTCGACGATCTCCTCGCACGCTAGCCGAGCCTGACCTCGAAGGTTCCTGAGAACCACTCCACCGATCTTCTTCTCCTCTATCGTGGTGTTGGCCTGCCATATCAGCAGGTCTCTCCTGAAGTGGCGGTACATGTAGTCGTCCGTCGGCTCCGTGAAGAGCGGTGGCGGATCCCGATCCACTCGTGATCGAACTCTAGTGGGCTCTCCACCGTCATCATCTTCTGGCTCTCCTCGAGCTCCTGGCGGCATCGCGGCGGTGCCTGAAACTGGTAGCGGGTGCGCAGCCACCGTGGGGAGAACAACGGTTCCGCTGCCAACTGAGAAAACAAATAGAACGAAACAAGAATCGCGGACTCTTTTCCACTGCGCGCACACCTGACCCAAGCCGGCTGCGGACGAAACACAACTGTTGTGTGAAACGACTGTGGCCAACTGAGGCCTCTCCAGACTTCCAGACACACACACTCTGGAAAGAGATCTAGAACATCAAGAAAGCTGAAATCACACCTGGCCCCAGAGAAGCACCCCAAGAGACCCTCAGATTCATCCCGGAGGCTCCTGACCCAGGACATAACTTCCAAGATCGTCTCAAACACTCACTCCTTGTGGGGGTTGGCAGAAGGGCGTAAGCCACTTGAATAACAATCACAGCACGGGAAAGAAATGCAAAACGTCATCCACGTGTAAAGGAGCAGGAGGGGAGGCCGAGCCCCGCCATCCAAAACCGACTCCTCCTCTTCCTCCTCCTCCTCCTCCTCCTCCTCCTCCTCCTCCTCCTCCTCCTCCTCCTCCTCCTCTCCTCCTCCTCCTCCTCCTCCTCCTCCTCCTCCTCCTCCTCCTCCTCCTCCTCCTCCTCCTCTTCCGCTGCTGGCACAGGTCTGCTGGACTTGCCAGGCCTTCCAGCCCCCAGCGTGACCCGCGGGTCTCGTCGCTCACAGGCCCCTCGGCCAGGAACCAGGGGAGGTGCAGAGAGAAACCTCCTTCGCTGCCATTACACTCTCCCCCCCCACCACTTCCCCCCTCCTGTAGGGCCCCTTCGCGGGGGCCGAGCCTCCAGCTCCATCGCCTGCTCCTCCGCATGGTTGGACATAGCGCCCGCCGACGGCGTGACTTTTCCAGCGCGGGGCCCAAAAACGGCACAGGCCCCGCAGCCCTCATTTCCCGGGGCGATCCCACCATCCCCGAATCGTGCCTTGACCGCCCTAGCTGCCTCCCGAATGGGGTCTGGAGCAAGTGGGGTCGAAGGATCGCGCCGCATCGCCGATGCATCGGCGATGCATCGGCGGCGGCGGCGGCGATGCGTCGGGGCCGTCGGCGTGGAGAAACCCAGGCTCCACATCGAGCTGCATTGGCGATGCATCGGCGATGCGGCGCGATCATCCGACCCCATCAGCTTCGATCCCCCGTTGGGAGGCCTGGGGCCCTAGGCAGCCGCTGGCAGGGCCCTCCGGTGACGCGGACGGGGGAGAGGAGGGGAGGAGGAGGTGGGGATGAGGAGGAGGAGGAGGAAATGGAGGAAATGGAGGAGGAGGAGGAGAGGGACGGGGAGGATGGGGAAGATGAGGAAGAGGAGGATGAGGATAGGGAGGACGGGGAGGAGGAGGAGGAGGAGGAGGAGGAGGAGGAGAAGGAGGAGGAAAAGTAGGAACAAAAAGCTGCAAAAGCACGAACTCTTGGAGGTCAGTACGGCTGTCTTGGATCGGCGCTGGAAGCGCCGCCAGGGGGGCCCAGCGCCAATCCGAGAAAGCCGCGCGGAGCTCCAAACATTATGTGTATACAGTTGTTTGTTCGCCGACGGAAGGCATGGCTTTCCAGGGAAGAGAACCTGAAGCGCGTCATTCTACGAGTCGCGACAACGGCCGTTGCCGAGCATGCTCCCCTTGTTCCCCCCCCCTGCCTGGTAACGTCACGGTTCGCGCCGACGCCGTTTGGGAATGGCTAGGGGCAAGTAATTCCCAGACGGCGCTGGCGCGAATCGTGACGTTACCGGCGCCCCCGCCCTCCCCCCTCCCCACCCCCCTGGTGACGCCCGCTATCACCCAGGAATTCAAAAAAAAAAAAAAAAAAAACTCCAGACGGCCGTCCACACATTGTTCGAGCCGCTGGGGGTCGAACAAGGTGTGGACTCCGCCTACCTCGGATCCCCAGGGGCCCCTGGGGTTCCGCGCAGCCGAGCCCCGCCTGGCCGTGGCCACAAGAGAGCACCCCCGCAGGCCCAAGCGGGGCAGGACAGAGGAGGATGAGAACGGGGAGGACGGGGAGGAGGAAGAGGAGGAGGAACAAAAACGGGGAGGAGGAGAAGGAGGAGGAGGAGAATGAGGAGGAGGAGTAGGAGAAGGAGGAAGAGAAGGAGGGGGAGGAGGAGGGGGAGGAGGAGGACGGGGAGGACGGGGAAGATGAGGAAGAGGAGGATGAGGACGGGGAGGACGGGGAGGAGGAGGAGGAGGAGGAGGAGGAGGAGGACGAGGAGGAGGAGGAATAAGAAGAAGACGAATAAGAATAAGAAAAATAATAAGAAAAGACTGCATAAACAAAACCTTTCGGAGATCTGCACCAGTTTGCTAGATCGGCGCTGGACTCATCCCCTGTGACGCGCTTCGCCTCCAGTGGAGCCTGACGCCGATCCAAGAAATCCGCGCGGACCTCCGAGAAACTGAATGTATGCCGTTCTTGTTGCAGAAGGACGGGGAGGAGGAAATGGAGGAGGCGGAGGAGAAGGAGGAGGAGGAGGAGGAGGAGTGAGGAGGAAGAGAAGGAGGAGTGAGGAGGAGGAGGAGGAGGAGGAGGAGGAGAGGAGGAGGAGGAGGAGGAGGAGGAGGAGGAGGAGTGAGGAGGAGGAGTGAGGAGGAGGAACAGCAGGAGGAGAAGGAGGATAAGGAGGATCGGATCGGATCGGATCGGATCGGTTTTCCACGACGGAAGGGTCGAGCCCGTGCTGCCGGGCGAGCACCAGACCCACTTGGGCCTGACGGTCGGAGGAGGAGGAGGAGGAGGCAGAGCGGGTCGAAGGAGGAGAAGGAAGAGGAGGACGCGGGAGTCGCGAAGCAACGCGAGGAGGAGGAGGAGGAGGAGGTGGAGCAACAGGGGGTCGAAGGAGGAGTAGGAAAACGAGGAGGGGGAGAAGGAGGAGGAGGGAGGAGGAGGAGGAGGAGGAGGAGGAAGAGGAGAAGGAAGCAGGCGCCAGGCCCGACAAAAATCATGCCGTCGGCGGTCTGAGGGAGCGCGCCCCGCGCCGCCGCCGCGCCCCGCCGCACCGCCGCGCCCCGCCGCGCGCCGCCGCGCACCGGCGCGCCGCCGCCGCGCGCCGCCGCGCCGCCGCCGCGCGCCGCGGGGGGGCGCCAGCGCGCGCGCAGCCGCGCGCGCGGCCGCGGCCGCGGCGCTGGTGGAGCCAGGCGCGGCGAGGTATCTACTGAAGCTAGAGACCTGGGAATTCGACAGGCGAGCGCGTCATAATCTACTACAGGTGCAGAGGATACTTGAGCTGTGTAGTTCGCTCCATGCTTTCGCTTATTTCACAAAGCCATGATCATCTGGGAAAATGCATCCCGACGGCCGATGGTTCCTCCTTACTGGGAGCTGGCGGTAAACCGTCAACCTTGGTTGCCCTGAACTCGCGTACCCTGAGACGGGGACCACGACCACGACTGAGCGCGGAAACGTCGTGCTGATCTTGGTCACCGTCCATCTGGGTCGGCGTCGACTCGTGGCTCGGCTTAGGGAGTCGGCGACGGCCTGCAGGGACCATGACCAAGATCGGCGTCGACAAGATCCCGCGATATCTATGTCATGGTCCTTGAGCTCGTTGAACCGACCCTTATCCCTATCAACGTGGTCTGGGCCCCACTGGCCGATTGACTCCCCTAGAAGAAGGATCTAGACCGTTTCCTTCGGTTTCGAAGGGAATATCCAACCGAAGTCCTAAAATGGTGGGGGTCTGAATGGGGATGGGGATAGAGGGATAGGGGGATTGGGGATGGGTTTAAAGATGCTGATAATTCGAATGCCATGACCTGCTGGCCCTGGATTCGTTCACACCACATCAGCAACCACATCGCTTGCAGCTCAACCCTTGCCACTCTCGGGGCCCCGACAGCCGACCAGTGATGGAACACGTAGTCGACACAGGATCGAACTCAGTCGTTGTTTTGATGCCCTGGGAAGCTCGCCTGAGCCCGGGGTCGGCGTTGTCTAGCCCACCGCCCGCGCGCTCGACTACGCGAGTGGGAGGCCGCTCGTTGGGGTGGGCAACCACACGCGTGAAGGATATGCGGGCGCCTCCTGACGACGATGCCGACGACGACGACGACAACGACGACGACGACGACGACGACGACGACGACGACGACGACGACGACGACGACATGGACGCGGCGACGTCGACGACGGCGACGGCGACGGCGGCCAGGTGGGCGACCGCGCGCCTCCAGACACGCCGTGGAAAGGGCCGGGGAGAGGGCGGGGAGCGGTCGGCATCGAACTGGAAACCCAGATCGAATCGGAACGCGCATCGCATCGGGCTGCACCGGCACGGAGCCAAGACTGGAGCGGGCCAGCCGCGCCGACGTGCACACCGACGCCATGCCGGCATCGGGCCACATCGGGTCGTCGAGTCGGCTCGAGCCCGACCAGACAAGCGCGGTCCACTGCTCGCACACCGACGACTCGCGAACGGCCTGGATCCGCTGCGGGGGGCTCCACCATCCATGACATCGAGCCACACGTGTGTACCTCGTAGAGCTCTTCGGGACGATGAGCTAGAGGAATTCCGGCGCGGGCTAGAGCTAGTTGACCACATTTGCCAGGGCGGACAACGTGGTAACCTGGTGTCGGTTTGATGATTGTCAAGAGATTTGACTATTTGTTTTGAGAACCAGTATTTGTTAACCTGTAGTAGGTCATGCCGCGCCGGCCAGTGAAATTCTCGGGCCCGTAGCTAGTGTGTTACTCACGAGCGACGAAAGACAAAAACTGCTATGAAAAAAATCCGTTATGTGGTTTTGATAAGATTTTGAAGGATTCGAGAATTCGTTCTGAAATCTACAAGATTTGAAAGTCTCAGGGCTGTAGCTGCCTATATCGATTCACTTCCAGGGACCGACCTCAAAAATGAAAGTTGTTCAAGAAATTCAACACTTTCTATATAAAAAACAAAACAAAACAAACAAAAAACAAAAACAAAAACGCCGAAATTTGGCGATTCGTGTGGGGATGAAATTTCTCTGTAACTGGAATAGTGTCTGTCTGTTTTGCTCGGAAATTATCAGGTCTCTAGCTGCCGCAGTATTCAAAAATATTGCT